CAGCTCATAGTGGGCTTTGATTATCTGGAGCCCCGTAACGAAAATATGTTTCCTCTGTGTTTCATTGTCCTCCTACCCTGAGCAGGAGATCAGTGGTCCTGGGCTGGGCCCTGAGAGTGCAGCCTCCAGAGCTCAGAGGATGCTGTCTGTTGTCCGGCCCCCAGTCTATGGTGCTGTCCACAGCCCAGGAGTCAAGAAAAGAAAAGTATGGAGTGTCCCCGTAAAGGCATGAGAGGATGAATCTGCCCCCTCCACTGCTGAGCACTGTTGGAGAGATCTTGGCCCAGGGAGTTGGGAAGAGAGAACTTAGCGCCACACGCTGCAGATATTGTGAACGTCAACCAATTGTTTAATACCAAATCAATTTATTCTGTTATTAGTTTTGTTTTTTTTGAGAAAGGGTCTCACTGTGGTGCCTCGATTGGTCTTGGACTTCTGGTGATCCTCCTGTCTCAGCCTTCGGTGTGTTGGGACGACAGGTATGTGCCACCACTCTGGCCTACATACTGAAGCATCCTGGGATTGGCTCTGTACAACACTCACCCATCCTTCAAGGCTCCGGTGTGCCACAGGTTTTGGCGTCCGTGTGTGCAGTTAGTGCTTTTGTGCAGTATTCCATGTGTCTGCGTTGAGCACAGGGGAGAGGCATTCTCCCTGTGTCAGCAGCGCACGTGCACAGGCGAAGTGAAGCCGGCCAAGGCGGGAGGATCAAAGCTTGAGCCCAGCCAGGGCAATGTGGAGATGGAGGGAGTGCTGTCCTGACATGACGGAGGTGGAAGGCTGAGGCGCAGCTCCTCTCCACAGCGCGCCCTGCACACACCCAGCTCTCTGCAAGCCACAGGAGCAGCCAGCTTTGCCTATCTTTTTCATATTGCTTTTTAGAAAATGAGAATTATCTTTCATTTTAAAACGCTGATTCTGTGAGGAGGGCACATGATTACTGAAGTGTCAGCAGCCTAGGGCACAGTGCCTGGCAGCTCCGTGCGGTGTGTTGAGGACCCGGGCCGGGGAACCTGCAGCTACAGTGATACAGGGTAATGAAACTCCCATCTGAAAGGTGCCTGGATGAGTTCATAGCCTCTCAAACCAAAGAATGAATTTTAGGAATAACAGAGGTTAATAGCAGAATAGAGTTACTGGGGCAAAGAAAGCTCCTGTCTGAGAGAGGAACAGAAGAGGTGCCAACCAGGTTGCCCCAGGAAGCTGTTGCTTCCAGGGATTTTTATAGAGGAAAACAATGTGGTGAGGTCTAAGGTAGAGAACATGGGAACTCACTTAGGTGGCATCTGGTGGGACAAATCTGGTCAACCAGTGAGATTACAAGCACCATTGCTCAGGTAAAATTGATTGAATCCAGGACCAAATGGGGAAGCGAGTCCTGTAGCGAGCAGGCATGAATGTGGGACAGGGCTCCTGTTGGGTTAGGGACTTTTAAGGTGACTGGTACCTATTTAGAATATCTGTCCCTGGCGCCCACCCAGGGAAGTGCTTGGCTGCATTCGCTGCTCTTCGGTCTCGCGCTCTGGCCCACATGGGAGTGTCTGTCTCTTCCAAGCTGCAGAGTCACCTTGTCTTCCACATTCCTCCTTGAGGGCCCAGCCCTGTCTGACTGCCTAGAATATTTCTATCTGACTTAGCTGCTTACAACAGCAGGGCCGCTTCACAGCCTCCTCCTCATTGTCCAGGGTGCACTGGTGTCCCCAGTCAGCTGGTGCCAGTGGCCCTGTACTCACCCTGCACGGTCGCTCTCCACTGTCTCCACCCCCTCTGAGCTTCAGTGGCTCTGGGCTCCATGACAAGCGCACAGATGCGGGCTCAGAGAGAGGCAGCGCCCTGTGCCGCAACTCTGCTCCTTGGTTTTACTTTATTTATTTATTTATTTATTTATTGTACCAGGTATCAAACTCAGGACCTTGTGCTTACCAGGCAGGCACTTATGCCACTGAGCTGTATCTCTGGCCCTACTTATTTTTTAATTGACACCCATAGGCCAGTGGTTTTTTTTTTTTTTTTTTTGACACAGGATCTTGCTACAGAGTTCAAGCTGGCCCTGACCTCATGGTGATCCTCTCACCTCAGCCTCCAGAATGCTGGGATTGCAGGCACATCTAGTTTCAGTCCAGTCATTCAGAGGTAGGATAGAAGAAATAATAGGCAGAATGGAGGCAAGGAAAGTATTGTTGAAAACTTATACTTTCAAGAAAACTGTAGCTACCCAGCTGGTCACCCAAAGAAATACCTACCCCATCCTTTGCTGAGAATCAGACCCCTTCCCTATCAGACCCACCACATCTACAATTCCCCGGAATCTTGCAAGTCCAGAAATTGCCTCCATTGAGAAAGTAAGGAGCAGGACCTATTCAAGGTTGAGTGAAGCCAGAGAGTCTTCCAGTTACCTGCTGGGAGTTGCCACCTGAAGCGTGGGCCAGCACCCGTAAACTTGGCCAGCATCCCCAAACCTGGCCAGCACCCCTAGGGCCCAGCCAGTACCATCAGGCCTGGCCAGTACTCCCAGGCCTCGCTAGCACCCCTAGACCTGGCCAGCATTTTAGGGTTGGCCAGCACCCCCAGGCCCAGCCAGCACCCTAGAGCTGGCCAGCACCCCCAGGCCCTGCCAGCACCCTGGGCCTGGGTAGCACCCTAGGCTCAGTCACCTTTTCTGGCTCCTCCACCCCTTCCAGAGCACCACAAAGTCCCTAGCTTGAGCTCAGTATGGCTCAGTCCTGCCTCCAGAATCCCAGCCTCTTCCCAACCTTGATGAAAATCTGTTCTGCCCCACAGGGGAGTAGACCTGCTATGAAAGGGTGGGTGAGGTCCTCATCTCAGTCTGGGTATCCTCAGACCTGTGCCCCAGAACAGTTCTTTGCCCATTTCCTTGTATCTCTTCCCCTCCCCCCAGGCACCCTGTGTTCTATTATTTCTACTTTATTCTTCTATTTATTGTCAAGGAAGCATAAAGATAGATGTTGCAGGCAGCAGTGGGATGGGAAGGGAAGGCCGAGAGGGAAGGTGGAGAATGAAGCTGTGTTACATGTGAACCAAGCCTAACAAAGGGACCCAAGTACTACACATTGCACACACACACACTGGTAAAGTGCTATAAGGCAGGCTTGGCAGTAGAGAATAGAATTAATCTTTAAAAAAGATAGGAAGAAATGCTAGCCAAGCAAGGTGGCACAGGCCTATAATTCCAGCACCTGGGGAGACTGAGGCAGGAGAATCACAAGTCCAAGCCCAGCTTGAACAGTTTGGTGACTGAGCAGGACAGGTCTCCAAATGAAAATAAGGAGCTGGGGATATAACTCATTGAGAAGGTCCTGGGCTTGAGCCCCATTATTGTAAAAAAAAAAAAAAAAAAAAAAAACACCTCTAAACAAACCCCTGAAAGGTCTGAGGGAGTGAGGGTGCTTGGTGCTGTGGCAGGAGGTCACACCTGCCTGCCCAGCTCTGTAGAGCTCACTCAGCCTGGCACTTGCCTCTCTGTGAGGAAGGGTAGAGAGGGTGCAGCAGGCTGGCAGGCTGCCAACCCACAACCCAGGGACTCTGCAGAGTCCAGGATGGTCTGGTGGGCTCTTTCCTCTCCACCAAACCAGCCAGATCCCCACCTGGACCCCAGGATAAGATTCGACCCCTGACTACTGAGTTTAAAGTTCTCCTTTTGTTTTCTAGGACAGAGCTTTGTTGATTATACATCAGAAGCTCTAAACAGATAAGGAAGTTAGGTGTGGTGGCTCATACTTGTAATCCTAGCATTTGGGAGGCTGAGGCAGGAGGACTGCTGCAGGTTCCAGGCCAGCCTGGGCTCCATAGTGACTTCAAGGCCTGCCTGGACTGCACAGTGAGACCCTGTCTTTAAAAAAAAAAAAAAAAAAAGTATACAGGCATACCTGGAGGCCAGCCTGCCAGGGGTCTTGTACCTATACTGAAGTTACTTTGTCTGTCCTGGCTGCAGGACGAGGGCCGGCTTGGTGGTGCTGGGCGACCATGGTTGGGGGCAGCAGGCAGTGGGCTTGTGGCTCTGGGTGCTGGGCCAGGCCCATCTTGCAAGTGGGCTGAAGCAGGCTATTGCCCCTCAGCAGCCCTTGCCCACCCAGCCTCCCAGAGCCACTTGCGCATGTCCTATAAAGACAGAGAAGTCTGAGCAGGGGCGCATGCCTGCGCCAGGCCAGGGTGGAGCAGCAGCTGGGAATTGTTGACCTGGGCGTGCAGAGCAAGCAGCTCTGGCCAGGGCCGGACTGGAGCAGTTCAGCAGGGAAAGAGCAAACGTTCAGTGTTTGGTAAGGGATTGGGACAGGAAGCTGCCCACTGTGTGAACGGGGCCATGCACCATGGGTTGGTGTGGGGGTCTGAGTGGGGCTGTGGTCAACACGAGTATGGGGGAGCAGCATTTCATCCCTGAGGTAAAGGACAATTGAATTATAATCCCAGCAAAACTGAGAGTAAAATCTACAGGAAAAGCCTAAAATGCCCTTTTCAGTTGTTCAACAAGACAGGAGGGAAAAAGCATGTGGGTGTTCTGTGGATTCTCCAGCAGATGTGGGGCAGCGTACTCGTGGCTTGTACGTGGAGGATAGGCCGGGGCTCTGTTGGCCAGCCCAGCTTACCTTCAGAGCGATGGGCGTGCCTCGTGAAGGGACAGCCGGCGGAGCACTACAGGTGACCCTGGAATGTCCCTGCCATGTTGCCATGCACGTGGGTGAAGTCAGCCTGCCAGGCCTGGGCGGGGAGTCTTTGAAGTATTTGACAGCGATTGCCGCAGGTGACATATAGCTTGTACAGAAGTAGTTAGAGTACAGGACAAGGCAGAGCTCTGAGTCTTGGACAAGGCTAGCGTCATAAGTGATTTTGCTTTTATATCTCAGAGGATGTAATGAATACCGTTATTGCCCATGAGCTTACCGAGTGTCATAACTACGGGAAGCCTTTGTCTCTGAATTTATTCCTGTACCAAGAGCATAAATAGGCTAGTCAGAAGGTTTTGTAGGGGGCCGAGTCGCGGTGCTGGAGGGAGGAGGTGGTGCCCGGGCCGAGGTGCGGTACCCGGCGCGTGAAGACGGACGCTGGAGGAGCGGATGTAAGAGCACAGCAGAAAATGTCCACTGAGCGAACTTCTTGGACGAGCCTGTCCACGATTCAGAAAGTAGCCCTGGGCCTTGGGATCCCAGCCAGTGCTGCGGTTGCCTATATCCTGTACCGCAGGTACAGGGAAAGCAGAGAAGAACGGCTGACATTTGTTGGAGAAGATGACATCGAGATAGAGATGCGAGTTCCCCAGGAGGTTGTGAAGCTTATCATCGGGCGGCAAGGAGCCAGCCAATATTAAACAGCTGCGGAAACAGACAGGTGCTCGGATTGATGCGGACACAGAGGATGTAGGAGACGAGCGAGTGCTACTTATCAGTGGTTTTCCTGCTCAGGTGTGCAAGGCCAAAGCAGCAGTCCATCAGATCCTGACAGAGAATACCCCAGTGTCTGAACAGCTCTCAGTGCCCCAGAGATCTGTGGGCAGAATCATAGGGAGAGGTGGCGAGACAATTCGTTCTATCTGTAAGGCCTCTGGAGCCAAAATTACCTGTGACAAAGAATCAGACGGGATGTTACTATTATCAAGGCTTATCAAAATCTCAGGAACACAGAAAGAAGTGGCAGCAGCCAAGCATTTGATACTGGAGAAAGTGTCAGAAGATGAAGAGCTTCGCAAGAGAATCACCCATTCTGCAGAAGCCAGGGTCGCTCGCAAGCAGCCGATCAGCGTGAGGAGAGAGGAAACCCCGGAGCCAGGTGGTGCGGGGGAGCCTGCTTCGCGGAAACATGCTGGCTGGGGCAGCACACATGCTGCACCCCTGGCAGTTCCTCCCCACAAAGGAGTCGGTGACTCAGCTGTTGTAGGACCAAAAGAGGGTTCTTGGGAGGAACCTGATAACAGCTGTCAGAAGACCGGAGTCCAGGCCAGTCCAGAGAAGTCCATTTTTGAAATCCCCAGTCCTGACTTCAGTTTCCATGCTGATGAGTACCTAGAGGTCTACGTCTCAGCCTCTGAGCACCCTAACCACTTCTGGATCCAAATCATTGGCTCCCGCAGCCTGCAGTTGGATAAACTTGTCAGTGAAATGACCCAGCACTATGAGACGAGTCTGCCTGAAGACTTGACTGTGCATGTAGGAGACATTTTAGCAGCACCCTTATCTACCGATGGCTCCTGGTATCGAGCTCGGATCCTTGGCACCTTGGAAAATGGGAACTTGGATCTCTATTTTGTTGACTTTGGAGATAATGGAGATTGCCCACTGAGGGACCTCAGGGCTCTCAGGAGTGACTTCCTAAGCCTTCCATTTCAAGCAATAGAATGTAGTCTGGCACGGATCGCCCCCTCAGGTGAGCAGTGGGAAGAGGAAGCTTTGGATGAGTTTGACAGACTTACCCACTGTGCTGACTGGAAGCCACTGGTGGCCAAAATCTCTAGCTACGTCCAGGCTGGGATCTCCACTTGGCCAAAGATTTACTTATATGATACCAGCAATGGGAAGAACCTGGATATTGGGCTAGAATTAGTTCGAAAAGGATATGCGATTGAGCTTCCTGAAGACATGGAAGGAAACGGAGGTGTCCCGGACATGTTGAAGGACATGGCCACAGAAACAGATGCTTCTCTTGCTAGTATGCTCACAGAGCCCAGAAGAAGCCCCGAAGAGATAACACATACCTTGTCCTGCCTCAGCTTATCAGAAGCTGCCTTTGTGTCTGGTGATGATAACCTTGAAGATGACTACTTACTCTGAAGTCTGGGCTTCAGCTGGCTCAGCCATCTGCTTTGCTGCTCTGGCACAGGATTTGGTTCCTGGAGAGAAGTCCATAAAGAGACACAAGCAGTCCTTCCTTTTTAAACACAGTCGGGCTTGCTGTGGACCAAGTCTATTTTCACCTGCTGTTGGATGAGAGTGGCCCAAAGGAAGACATACTACACCTCCCTCCCATGTCACCCCAGCCCTCCTGTGTCTTCAGTGTTTAGTGCCGTTACTTCCAGGCTCTTCAGCCTCAGGCTTGGTCCCCCTGCCAGATAAAGCAGCTTGCTGCTCGGCTGTGTCCTCTTTGAGTCTGGGAAATAGCTAGGGCTTGGTCCTTGGGAGCAATGATGATTCAGCAGACTTGAGCCTCACCTCGGCAGGTGACTCTCATTAAGGGAAGTTTTAGGGCCGGGGAGATGGCTCAGTGGAATAAGCGCTTCCGTGGCAAGCGGAGGGCCTGAGTTCAATCCCCGGTTCCGCGAAAAAGAAAAAAGGAAGTTTTAGTGACTGGACTCAGGCTGAAGTTGAGTCAGAAGGCAAAGGCAAAGATGAGCATAGATTAAGCCTTCGGAGGTAGGAGAATGCTGCCTTCCACCTTGAGTTGCTGGTGTTATTGGAGACAGATTTTTGGGACTGTGCTCCAGCTATTTCTTGTAAACTTTAGTTTAAAAAAAAAAAAGTGGTGGATCATAAAATATTCTAAATTGCTAGATAGTAGCCATATGTGTATAAACACACCAAAAGAGAACATGCACAATTCAGTTTAAATCATTTGAGGGATTCTTTGCTAAATAAAGTTCTCAGAAGTACCAAAAAAAAAAAAAAAAAAGAAGGTTTTGTAGGTCAACTGAGATCTCTCATAATGAGAATTAGAAGAAATAACCCCCGCTTTTTTTTCCAGTATATTTTTCTGTGTTTTATCATCTTAAGAATTTTTGCCACTTGGGCCCTTCTCTCCTCTTGGCTTCCAGCCCAGTCACCCTCATATCTTCTTCAACTTATGTGGACCTTTTGCTTTGAACTTCATGATGAGATCTCTGTGTCTAAGAGAGGCTTTCGTACCCTGACCAGCATCTGTGCTGTCTAAGAGGGAGATGGCCTGACCTTCTGTAGCAGGAGTTGCCTTGAGTCTGGCGTCTGAAATGCTCCAGGGGACCTCAGTGGCCGAGCCAAGGAGGTGAGGAGGAGCTGGTCAGGGGAGGTCCAGGGTGACATCCAGGGCCAGCAGCAGCAGCTGCCAGCGGTGGGCAGGCCGACCGCCAGGCCCCCCACCAAGGACATGGCTTCGAGAGTCCCAGGTCCTGGTATTCCCTGGCCCAGGGACCACTCTGAGTCTGGCAGCTTTTGGAGCACAGTCCTGGGAAGGAAAGCCCTCGAGATGTGTGAGCAGTGGGCTGGGGATCAGGTCCCACCAGAGGGTTTTATTTTGTTGTTTATTTATTTATTTTTTTATAGCAGAGACAACATCTGCTACTCAGAGTTGTGCTGTTTTTGAGTACTCTCATCTCTATTATTAAAAACTTTAAAAGGCTAATTAAGAAGTTTTTGGGGGCCGGGGAGGTGGCTAGTAGAGTAGGCGCTTCCTTGGCAAGTGCAAGGACCTGAGTTCAATCCCCGGCTCTGCAAAAAAACCCAAAAAACAAAAAAAACAAAAAACAAAACCAAAAAACAATTCTGCGGGCTGCATCTTGTACAATGAATAACCACTAAGACAACAATATGCCATGTATTAATTAGTGAAAATGTGCTAGTAATCGGTTGTGAAACTCTCATTGCTATTTGTTTCTCAATAAAAATATTAAAAAAAGAAGTTTTTGAGGCCCCTGAGGGCTGGCCTTCAGTTTCTGCAACTTTTTATGAATGTCTGGAGCTGACTGGATAACAAGATCTTTAGGGCAACTTGTCTCTTGGCCTTTCTGGGTGTAATACTTTATAACGGCTCCAGGCAACAGCTGAGTGAGTCACAAACCCACCTGGCTTTCCTCCCTGCTCTGAGTGGTTTTCTTTAGCTTATCAAAGGTAACGGCTTTGTGGGCTGCTCAGTGAAGTCACTCTATTAAGTAAGAAATCATGGGGTCTTGTCTTACTTAGGTCCCCAGATTCTGCCAGGGACACCTGTCCTGCCCATGGGACATCTGCCAGGGGGAGGTGCTGCTTGTCCCTGGAGCACAGAGCCAGGGAGAGCACCCATTCTGCTCCTCTGAAGAGAGTGGAGCCAAGGGTCACAGTGGAATCTGCCAGGTTAGGCTCTGTGACCGCCTCAGGCCCTGAAACGCTGGGGTACACTGTGTGGGATCTCAAGAGGAGGAGCCCAGGTGCCGGTTAACTGGGGAGAGGTCTGTCAAGGAGAAAGGAGCAGGGACTCTGATCATCTCCTCTGCCCCTGCCATCTCCCAGAGTGGGAACTGGGGGCAGCGGGCATGATTTTGGGGCCAAATTGTAAATTGGATTGAGTTTGGAGTGCAGCAGGTCAGATGTAGTGGACATAGTGTGCAGAACAGGCATCTGGCCAGTGAGAGGCCCTAGGAGGGCCACAGGGCCACGGGTGAGAGGAGAAGCTGGGGTCGTCTACAGTCGGTAAGCTCTGAGGGAGCCTGTCTCCTGGGCAGTGTCAGTCCACCACCAGTGCAAGGTTTATGGGCACGGATGGGGAGAAGCGATTCTTTGTCTGCCCCAAGGGTGAGAGGAGACAGCAGAACCAGGAAGCCACCAGCAGTGTAGAGGGAGGCAGTTTGGCACAGAGGGGTTAATGTTTCAGAGCTAAAACCCAGTAGTGGCAGCTCAGGGAGCTGAAAGCCTGCCCATGGTGTGTGTGTGCGTGTGTGTGTGTGCGTGTGTGTGTGTGTGTGTGTGTGTGTGTTGAAAGCTAGAATAGCAGCAGAAGCCTGCAAGGGAAGGCGCGCACGCTCACCAGATCTGAAGTGGGCAGGCACGGGGAGCTGCCTGCAGCACTGGGGTGGGGCCCAGGACCTGGCTCCCTGGGTGGCTGCAGTGGAAACGGCTCGAGACAGGAGGTGCGTTGGTCAGACGGCATCTCGTGTCACTCGATGCAGTGGCGCGAGGCAGAGGCCAGGCTGTAGAGGTGCGGAGTTTACTGTGCCCGGTGCAGCAGACAGCAGGTGACCTTTGGGTTAATACTATCCCCTAGTTATGTCCGTTTTCTTTCTTTCTTTTTAAGTCATTTTCAGTACTTTATTATTGGTACTGGGACTTGAACTCAGGACCTTGTGCTTTCCAGGCAGGTGCTTGTACCACTGAGCTATATTCCCCACTATCCCCTAGTTATCGTGGACTCATCAGGCCCACAATCTTCTGGACAAGTGTCCAGTGAAGGCTTAAATAAGAGACAAATGGAAAGCTTTCAGGGCTGCAGGAGGATCAGAATCCCTCTCACCAAATCCGCAACGCTCAGGGTTATGACCAAGACATTCTCTGGGCAGGATTGTGTTGTCAAAGGAAGGGGACACTGAAGAAAACGCAGGAGTCTGGGCAGGGCTTGGGAGTCCCTTCGAGGACTTCAAGGAATGCATTATGTGAGTTTAGGGGAACTGGCACCCCCGGGAAGGCCTTCTTTGCCTTGAAAACTGAGGTTGGGACCAGGCACCCTTAGCCGGGGCCTTGCCTTGTCCTTGAGGCACCTGGCTTCACACGCCATCTTGGGACGAGGGACGCTGGGGCAGACTCACAAGTCAACACAGAAAGCCAACCGATTAATGCAAATCCTTCTCAGAGCCACTGTGCAGCGGTCTCCCATCGGGTGACAGGGCCGTCTGCAGGCCCACAGAGAAGCGGCCTCTCAAGGAGAGCACAGGGATGTGTGGCGGGAAGATGCTGTAGACCTCGGTGGCTGCAGTTCATGGCCGCGCTGCCCCTAGGCACAGAATGCTCGAGGTGTCTAGGGTAGCTCTCTGGTGTCTTCAGGTATCTGGGACCTACACGATGCCTCCTCCTGTCGCATCTCCTTCATGACACCCTGTGTTTGATGACAGCCAGGGTGCTGAGCTGAGTCCCGCTGAGACAGCGCCTAACCCGGTTGGGTCTGATTCGAGCTTACAGGCTTAAACTTCTGATCTTCCCACCTCAGCCTCCCAGAGAGCAGTAATTGTCCCCTGGGTTACCTTTCCTCCCTCAAGCTGCCTTGTTTAGATATTTTAATTTCAATACGGGAAGCAGGTGAATGCACCACCTAGTCCAGATGCCCACTTGTGCTGCTTTTCTTTACAAAGTCTTCGTTGTTCGTTGTATACAGTGTATGAGTCATCACTCCTGTGGGGACCCCCTGTCCAAGAGGGACAAACATAATGTTTGTGCTTCTCTCTTGTTAATATGCTCTTGCATTAATTGGGTTCCTCAGTCTTGGGAGAGAGCTCACAGGAGAACTGAGGGGAACCTAGTGTGGTGGTTCATGATTGTCATTCCAGAACTCCAGGAGGCTGAGGCAGGAGGATCCCAAGTTCAAATCCAGCTTGGGCAACTTAGTGACTTAGCAAGACCCTGGCTCAAAATAAAAAGTAAAAACGGGCTGGAAACTATAGTTCTGTGCTAACACTTCAGTTAACATGCACACATGCCCAAGCACATAGAAGCACACACACACATGCACACACACACACACACACGCACACACACACACATGCACACACAAATGAAAGGAAGAGAAAAAGGAGGGAAAAGGAAGGAATGTCTCAAACCAGCAGGTCAGTCAACGAAGGTCACCTGGGAGAGGAGCGGGGAGTTGAGGAGGGGACAAAGGACAGGAGACGTGAGAAATGGAGACAAGACAGGATTCTGATCAAGTCTGGTTTATTTAGGGGAGGTGCTGGGTATATATAGTGGAGGCACAGGGAAGTGATGTCAGCGGGTAAAAGGCATGAGTAACTAGGCAACCAGGCTATGACAGGAAGTCCCACCTCCGGGGCCTAGCAGGAGGCTTATGGGAAATAGGCGGGGTAAGAAGAATTAGGAGCTTAGCTCAGCAGAGGTAGGGGAAGAGGAACCTGGAAACCCACTTGCAATAGGATTGGAGCCCTGGAATTATTGAGCCTCCCACAGATTCCCCCTTTACTTTTATATATGTATGTAAAATATGGCTTCTGTAGACGGCTGATTCCCTCAAGGGGGCAGTGCCTGTCTTAGGTCGAGGCGTCCTCTACACGGACCTGACTCAAACCTTACCTGTCATAGGAGACCAGGACAGCAGAAGGTCCCGTTCCTGTCTTAGGTGGTGAGTAGTGTCTCGTGTATGCCCCTCATTACCCGTCTCTGGCTAGCCTGGCCATCTCACCAAGGGTGGGAGGACTAAGAGGTCTCTGGACCTTCATCATCATAAGCTGGTTGTATTCCAGCACAGTTTTCCCTTTCAGCCATCTCAAGCCTGTGATAATGGACCTGTATAGGTTGCATTTTAATGGCATCCAATTGTTGTTTAA